GTCTCATACATCCAACTGGTTTATATGAGTAATAGAAACTTTGCACCCTCAGTTAATAAATAAGCAAAGTCCGTCTGTATCATTAAAACTTGCTGCTCTAAGCACAAGATGTAAGGTAGTTCTTTTCAGGGGAAAAAAGTCCTGGTAAGTAGGAAGTGAGCAGATTTTATGCTCTTAGGATCTGCAGCATGGAACAAAATTAATCTTTGTAGATGGAAAAACAAATTGAAAAAATAAGAATCCTGGAGGAAAGACAAATATCTCTGAGAATGTATGGAAACTGCTGCATAAATCAGCTACAATAAAGCCTGTGTTCGGCACCATTAAACACCCATTAAATCATGCACTGCCACTTTAAGGCTTACCTCCAGGTAAGGTAGCAGGTAATGTGGGGATAGCAGTCAAGAACAATGTGTACTTGGTTAACTATGTGTGTCTCTTCAAACCTGATATGTTAACTCCACGGAGGTAATGTAGCGTGTGGGGGGTTGGGCGGTCACGGTGAGATTACCGTCTGGACGTGGAAGTCCAGCAAGGTTGCTCTGTTGTCTGCTGCGGCTCATGGTCTGCGTCTTAAGAGGCTTTAACAGGCTTGGAAGGGATGAGCTGCCATCTGGCTAAATCCTGAACAGCCAGTCACATATGGTGGAAATATGTTGACATCGCTTATGCGGTCTGATGCCTCCTGAAGCTCTTTCATCTGTCGTGTATATGAAGATGACTTCTCTTTTTTTATAGTATCCATACCTGTCAAAAACCTGCACCCAATCTGCCACTCATTCAATGAGTCAATCATCTGTTTTCCTTTTCTACCCTCAAACAAGATCACACTGTTTCATCTGATTTGAGCTTAGAATCAACACTGCATGTAGACATCCTGAACTTTGTTCCTTATATCTGCAGCAAAGTTTCACACTGGTTTTATTTTCATTGTGCCGTTATTTCGACAAAGCAACAGAGCAGAAATGTCTCTACAGTTTCTGCTTTGTTTTGTTTACATTTGCAGGGAGACGGATGGTTTAAACTGACATCCAGCAGCAGAGATAAACGATGCTAAAGGCTGAAGATACTGGAAACATGGAGAATGGACCAGAGAGGAGCAGTAGCAATTGCCTGACAAGAACATGACTCCAAACTGACACTGCAGTCTCTTTTAAGGAGGTTAGTTCACTTTTTTGACATCATAGGAAGAAGCTTTGTGAACTCTTAGGATTTGTAAAACCAATCATATTTGTCAGTATTCTAAGTTATTCCACAAATAAAAGTGTAAAAATTGTTGCCAAAGATTCTATTTTGAAGACAGAAACCCGGAACTGAGCTTGAATAGGTAAAGTGGTTTCCTGATGGGACGACAACAAAGGACTAAACACAAGAACTTCTAGAAACGTAGGTAGAGACAAGAAGTGCCTCTAATTATTAGTCAATCTAAACAATCTGCCATCTGCCTCAGGGAACTGCTCCTCTTTAAGCTCCTCCTCCTGATGAACCTTAACAACTCCAGCTGCAATTGCTTGTCACACCTTGTAATGAGAAGAAGAGACACACAAATACCAATCTGCATACAACCCTTTGGACATAACAACCATATTGCCTTGCATAAAATCGATTGTTCTTCTCAGCATGATGCTGCTCTGCTTCAGAATACACTTAGTGTGTTCAAAGTGACATGCAGTGTTAGTTTTCTGATAAGCACAGTAGTTTTCATTTGTACTGAAAAGCAAAATTTTGATTTTACTTTCCAAGATCACCTTTTTCTGTCTTCCTCTGCTGGGTCAACGACATGCCCAGTTTGGGAAACTGCAACCAGGATTTGCTATATCTAATAGTACGTGGACAGCCATGTCTTGGTAGGTCTGCAGTTGTAGTCATACTCCGTTTTCAGATGATGGATTTAAGATGTGACAGGTTAAGATATGTTTTGTACACATCTATCGATCCGTTCCTCTGGCCTGCCTGTGTTCATCCCTATTCATTTCAACCACAGTTTAAGGACAATGCTTGTGAAGTACATGAATGCATCAAGAAATTCATTTCTATACCCAATATTAAAGCTGTATAGATTAAGAAAAATATGTTCAGATGTAATTTGATGATTTTATAAGTTAAATGTTGTGAAGATCCACCAAAAGGTCTTGCTCAGGTCTCTGCAAATGTTAGCTGGATCCCGGTGTCACACAGACGTGCATGGGATTGATCAATACATAAAGGTTTTTTTTTTTTTCTGTTACGGGTCACAAATCCAATGGAAAATTCAAGCTGGATTTGCCTAATCAATGAGTACTAGCTACTACAACTAGTTCATCCCCTCTTCAATTAAAGGCCTTTCCAAGTTGACTTCAGCCCTCTGCTTGGACCGCCAGGATTGGGGCTCACTTTATGATTTTCTCTCGCTCTTCTGTTATTATTCTGTTTCCTCTGTGTGAACGGAAAGACCAAAATAACTCTGTTGAAATCTACGGCTCTCCAGGGGCAAAGCTTTTGTGTCGGAGCAAGTAAAAAACAAGAGCAGAGCCAGCTGAATGGGACACTACAGTTTCAAGGCCTCATGTGGCTCGGTCCATGGATACAGACACGGCTCATTAAATGGTCAGGCTGTGTGGAGTCCCACTGAGAAGTGTCATATGAGACAATGAGCTGTGTTTTACAGATGAAACTGGGAGCTGCAGTCTGGCCTGAAGTTTAATGGCAGATTCACAAATGAAATGGTTCTGCAAAGAGTGTGTGGGATGTGAGGATGGAGAGATTAACTGGGAAATTAATGGATGTGCTATAACATTTTTGCAGCCTTGCCATCTGATGGTTCATCCTAAAAGAACGTCTGAAATGCATTAATATGAGATAAGAAGGTCACCTTATGATCTGGCTTAAAGAATCCAGTTGCAAGTGTAGGATTTATTACCATTTGTGAGGAGCAGTATGTTTTAGGTAAAATAACTGTAAATAAACCCTCACATCTTTATACATACAATAAATGCACATTTCAAAGCCAAATCACCAGTCCTACAGTTGAAGTTGGTTTATTTTTGTGAATTAATAGTTTTTGTTTTATGGTCGTGTGTTTTATGGTAATGTTTTCAACATTTTATTACTTATTTGCACACCGGCATCTGCTGACACAGTTGATGAGATATAATTATGCTGTTTTCCGCAAGGAGGAAAACATTCCTGCATGTCCAGATTAGCACCTGTTCAAACCATTAAGGTGTTGCTGGTGGAGTTGTCTTAAATAAAAGTTCTGTTGACTCCCACATGTTATTCCTACTTTTTAATATTAGGATGTCATGATCAATCAACCAAAAATCGGAATAGGGTAATTTTCCCCTGATTGGCTTGGAAGTCATCAGGTTAATTTCTGAGCAATCAGATTACTAAATGCATCAAAACAAAGAACTTCCACAATTTTCAGTTTATAAAAAAATTGATCAACAACATGTACTTTAATTCAGTTTTAACAACAAATAAAGGTTTGGAAGAAATAGTTTGCTGTATAAATGAAGATACTTGGATACTGGCACATCTACGAAGTAATTTATCAAAGAAGCTGAAGCATATTTTTTCTCTGCTATGAGTTCCAAGAAAAAGAAAACAATATCAGGTAAATTTGGAATTAGCATGTCGGACCACGGTGAAAACAGATAATTGGTGTCAGCCAGAAAAGGCTGACAGGCCTCACAATTTAATTTTAGCTTACCCTGTGACACTTATTACCGTTTCATAACCAGGCGTTAAAAATTCTCCCTTTTTTGCTTCCATTTCATACCTGTCCGTCTAAAACCATAAGGCTATTTTTTATTGTTCAATACTTTCTTCAGTTATGGAGTAAGTCATACAGCAAACAGATCTCACATATAATTGAACTTAATTGCACTCTGTTTCCATTCATCTAACTTATTCTGATTGTAGTGCTGATCAGATAAATCTTAGAAAATATGATTTTCTAAATCTTAAAAAATCATATTTTCTTAACATGGGAAAATCACATTTTCCCATGTTGGCTAACATGGGAGCTAACATGTTAGCTCCCATGTTAGCTAAGATGAGAGCTAACATGTTAGCTCCAAGCAACCTCCTGCTGGAATATTTTAGTTTTTGGAGTCACATAACCACACATCTACTACTGTGAACTAAAAGTAGACAATAAAAAATTACACTAACTTGATTTTTGTTTGAAGCCGATTATGAAACGTTCCCTTGATGAGTACGAATTGACGCACACTTGTTATAAGACACCCTGCTTTGGATGGCTCCCGTCATACTTAAAAAAAACTACAACACCTGCAACAGTAGGTACGTGCATATTCTTAATCATAGCGCTGATTTTTTGTTTTTGAGTCAAATTCAAATTTTTGGTTTTTTTTTTTTTTTTTTTGCATTAATCTGGACAGTTCTTTAGGTTTCATGAACTTTCATATTTACACATGCCCAACATGCTGAGGACAGCTGCCACATTCAACCTTACTCGGAATTTCGCTTCCTGTTTGTCCTTTTTACTCCCTCGGCTGTCATTCTGGTACTGTCACGGATTGACTAACACACCCACACTGTGACATGTTTTTCTCATGAAGGCCACGGTGGAGCACATCTTCCACACGAAGTTCATTCCCACATTGGCTACAGTGTGCTGCACGTAATGGTATGGTTACACTAAAAATCACCTTCAGCAGCGGTTTCCATCATGGAGGATTGTGATGATTACAAACTTTTGAACCACAAATTGCAGAGTTGTGCATCCAAATCCTCTTCATCTGCATTTATTTCTGAGGTAAATTCTATAAACAGTATCTAATTATGAATCTACAAACCAAGGGCATGCTGGGACATGTTGCTCTGTGCAAGGCTTACATGAGATGCATCTATCTCTTTCCATCACCAAGGAAAGGTCACCACACCTCCATGCTGTGACTCAACCTCTCTGACGTCTCTCGCGCTTCGGGTGAAATCGGAGCTGGGAACACTCACCGTCAGCCCTTGTGCCTTCCCAGGTCCTCTCATGTATTATGGACAACAAGATTTAATGGTTTAAAATTAAACTGTGTGGCTCTCTGGCAGTAATGCTGATGTAGAACAGTGATCGCCTGTGGCTTTGTTCAGTGAGCGGTTAATTAGAAAGCTCGACTCTTGTGCCTCTGTCAGGTCAGAGTCTGACTGTCAGGCCTATTTACTGTTTGTCAGTGGGAAAACCGAGTGTACTTGCACTGTATTCAGAGCCACTTCCTCTGAAAATTATAGTGTTGTTACCTTTGATAAATGGTTTCCATGTGTTGACACAGCAGACAGCAGGAACGCAGATATAACCGTAAATATGACCTCTGTAGTGTGAACGTTTATCTTTATCTTCTTTCTTTTTTTATGAGCATGGTGGTGTGATTTAATGTTGATTTCTACGAGATAGCCATAACACACAGCAGGTCTATTTTTTAAAGAATATTGCCGCATTCAAGATTCAACATAAATCCATCCTCGTTTTGAGGAATGGATGTAATAAGAGTTCAAAATTTAATTGAGATTTTATATGGAAGACACAAAGTAGAGCATATTTATGAGGTTGAGGAAAAGTATACATGCTGCTCAAATTTATATGTAAAAAAAAAAAAAAAAACAAACTTGATGGAGGCACCATCAGGCCGTGGTGAAGTTTTTCTTCAGCAGACAGAGGAAACCATGTCAGAGTTGATATAAAGATGGATGGACTGGACTGGACTGGGTGATCCTGGGAGAAAAACTTCTAGGGTTTACAAATCGCTTGAGGATGATGCAGAGGTTCACCTTCTATCAGTACAACAGCCTTAAACATACAGCCAGAGTTGGAATGGTTTAGATTATAGCATATCCATGTATTACAATGGCCCAGCCAAAGTTTCAGCCTAAATCCAGTTCAGAGTCCGTGGTAAACATTGAAAATGACTGAATGGATTGTTATTTATTAAAAATTTTTTTTTAAAATTCAACCATAATAAACTATTCACTGAGTTGTGTTGGTCTATCATATAAAATCCCAAGAAAATTCATTGTTATAACATTACAAAATGTGACAAAGTTCAAAACATGGCATTATTTTTGCAGGATAAAATAAAGTTAAACTGTATATTTGAACAAACTATTTCCTTGAGTCTTAGGATCTCTTTACCTAAGGCTCACCCAATAGGCTGAGTACACGCCTGAGTGTTTGTTTTGTCTCAAACTGGATGTGAAAAGTTAAAGTCAAAAGCTCTATTTAGTCAATCCCCTCTTATCAGCAGGGAAACTTTGCTTCACCTTGAGGGCCTGAAATGTGTTGTGCAAACACTTTGAGACATTTACTTGTGTGAATGGGCTGGCTGCACGAGTGGCTGATAGCCAGTTAACCCCTGACGCTGCAGAGACGGGACCCAGCAAATCCTTTGTAAGAATGTAGGTCAGGAGAAAAATGGACCTATAAAAGCAACAAGCGGCTGTAAGAGGCATGAACAGCACACACGGGGCCACTGGCTCTGGCTTTCTTTTCTCTCTCTGCTAATCACATTAAAATGGGCTTGTGCTGATGATGTCATACAGTTGCTGTGGTTTGAGGTTTTGGGAACTTCAAGAAGCTGCAGCTGGTGTAGACAAGAAAATGCACCGCAGGAGGAAGAGAAAATAAGTGTGGCTTTCTGTGCTCAACACGCTGAAACAAACCCACGTTCTTTTCAGAGTGTTGGTGATTTCAATGGCGTCCGGTGGAACCATTTTAGCCAGTCGATGCACATGATCATAGCTGTCTACCTTAACTAACAGGCCATTAAGGGAATTTATCAAAAAAGCAGCCAAGAGGGCCGTGGTAACTCTGGAGGAACTGCACAGGCCCGCAGTTTGAGTTAGCTATTACTCATACAATCCACAAATCAGGGCTTTATGGAGACTGACAAGAAGAAACATGTTGGTAGCAATATCACTAGTGGGAGCCACTTGTTTTCCGCAAGAACAGGGAAGTGGTTCAGAGTTTTTGGGAAGAGGGATGCAGCTAAATAGGGGGCACTGGCAGAAGAACGCTTTAGAAGCAGCAAAAGGCTTGAGACTGGGATGGAGGTTCACCCTCCAGTAGGTCAACGACCCTAAACAGAAAGCTG